GAATGATAGGGCAAGGTGGCAGGGTGAGAGGTGGGGTGGAAGGGAGATGACAGGATGAGAGGTGGGGTGACAGGGTGAAGGGGGTGACAGGTGGGGTGGCAGGGTGAGAGGGGGTGACAGGGTGAGGTGGCAGGGTGAGAGGGGGTGACAGGTGGGGTGGCAGGGTGAGAGGGGGTGACAGGTGGGGTCATAGACCGAGAACCCGACATGTCAGTCTGCCCTCAGGCGATTTAGGCGGCCACGAGGCCCCTGATTGCGCGAGGCTTTAGGCGGCCGCCTAAATCGCCTAATTAGAGAGCCACCTCTGCATACAGTTAAACTACTGAATGAACAGTCATTCGGTTCCACTACCGAATGCAGAGGTGTTCGCGCAAATAAGTGTCTGTTTCCAGTTCCATAGTTGGGCGCTGAACACCACTGGCCGTTCGGGAGTTAAAATAGCTGCTGCCACGTGTTCGGCAAACGAACAAAGGCCACCCAGCGTTCGTCAATTAAGCTGCGGTTAACCGCAGCTTCTGGGCAGTCAATTGACGGTACACTCCAGTTCCCAGGTGGTCGATCGTTCGGTACTTTGTTCGGTAGATTGAATCTACCAAACACCCCGGCAGAAAGGCACAAATAAGCCTTTCTGCAGGGAAAATAAAAGGATTTAAATGCCGGGCCGTAGTCTAAAGGGAGCAGGCGAGCAACCAGGCTCCTCCAGTGGACAGTGGTGAGGCTGGTTCCGCCACACCTTATGTGGTATTGCCATATTTAAGGTTAGAAATTAGGGTGCTGTTTGGCACATTGCTTCAAAAGAAATGGGGCAAGTAGGACATTTTTGGGTAATTAGAGGTTCATTGTCTGGAGTGGTAGGAGGCCCCAAAAATATTGCACCAAGGCACATTGGAGCCTGTATATTTTTGTGCAGCGTTTCTACAAACTTTTGATTAATTTAGCCCTCTTATTGTTTAATATTTGCTGCTGTGAGGGAGGGTCCTTGACTTCCTGGTGGTCTAACGTTTCCCCTGGGGTTTCCATTAAGTTATCTGCAGAGAGCTTTTCCCATCCGGATGTGAGGCCTGCACTGACAGTGGTCGCAGTAATCTATAGATCTCCCCACATCATGTGCTTCTGCTGGGGAGCTCAGTAAAGCCAGTTCTAGAATCGTAGTTCTGGCTCTGCTGTATAGGCAGCTATTGCAAATGATTGTATTGTTGCATACCCTTACAATCATGTATACACAAGTGGTGGAATGAAGCTGTTAATTAAATCAAGGTCTAAGTCCCCATACATATTAGAAATGGTATGTACAGAGGGGGCTTAGAACAAAGCTCATTTGCACATTATAGAATAAAAATAATTCATTATGAGCTAATAAAACAAAATTATATAACAGCTCTAAATAAAAAAAATATAAAAATATATTTTAAAGGTAAACGTCATCTATCAAATTAGGAAAAAAAAATTAATGCATTATTATTATGCATTATTTTAAAAGCATCATTAAACAAGAGAATTAGAAAGAAAAGGAGAAGAAGGTAGAGGAATAAAGTGAGAGATGAAGAGAGAAAAAATTGTTTCATAGTTTCTAAATGCTCTTGCGACAGGATGTTAATAGGAGTCAGAATTTTAAAAGCTTTGCAGCTACAATTAAAGGGAATCTCCAGTGCCAGGAAAACATATCCGCTGGAGGTCCTCATGCATGGCTGATAGACAGCCACTAGAGGAAGACTTAACCCTGCAAGGTAATTATTGCAGTCTATAAAAACTGCAATAATTACACTTGTATGGTTAAGGGTGGTGGGAGTTGGCACCCAGACCACTCCAATGGGTAGAAGTGGTCTGGGTGCCTGGAGTGTCCCTTTAACCAGGGCCAGACTGGCCCACCGGGATACCGGGAAATTTCCCAGTGGGCCGCGGCACCTGGGGCTGGGCTGCGCATGTATGTGCTACCGGGTGGCCGGTCCGGTGGCACACTCAGAGGGAGCCGGCCGCGTTCCAGGCTGGAGCCGCCGGGCCGGGTGGCAGCTTCGCCGGTCCGGCGGCACTTCTGTCACTGATGATGCTGAGGGCTGAGGGAGGAGGAGCATGTCTATCTACCATGCTCCCTCGCAGTTCCCACAATCCCCAGCACTGTATGATGTATGGATGTATCAGTATACTGTGCTGGGGATTGTGGGAACCGCGAGGGAGCATGGTAGATAGACATGCTCCTCCTCCCTCAGCATCATCAGTGACAGAAGTGCCGCCGGACCGGCGAAGCTGCCACCCGGCCCAGCAGCTCCAACCTGGAACGCGGCCGGCCCCTGACTTCTCTAGGTAAATGGGGGGGAGGGGATAAAACAGAGAGGGGAATAGACACAGGGGAAGGAGGGAGAAAGAGACAGAGGGGGAGAAAGAGGAGGAATAGAGAGATGGTGGAGGGAGGAGAAAGAGACAGAGGGGGAGGAATAGAGAAATGTTGGAGGGAGGAGAAAGAGACAGAGGGGGAGAGAGATGTGGAGGAGGGAGGAGAAAGAGGGGGAGGGGGAGACAGAGGGGAGATGGAGGAGGAGGAGAAAGAGGGGAGGGAGACAGAGGGAGAGAGATGTGGAGGAGGGAGGAGGAAGAGACAGAGGGGGAGAGAGATGTGGAGGAGGGAGGAGAAAGAGACAGAGGGGGAGAAAGAGGAGGAATAGAGAGATTGTGGAGGGAGGAGACGGGGGAATAGAGAGATGGTGGAGGGAGGAGAAAGAGACAGAGGGGAAGAGAGAGACAAAGAGGGAGAAAGGAGAGAGACACACAAGGGGAGGGGAAGAAAGAGGCAGAGGGGGAAGTGAGAGACTGGGAAGAGAGAGGGGAGACATTGACACAGAGGAACAGTGAGGGGGAGAAAGAAACATACAGAGTGACTGGGGGAGACAAAAAGGCACACAGAGGGGCTGAAGATAAAAAGAGACACATATAGGGGCTGTATATATCACTGGTGGATGGGGGGGCAACGAGGCAATTCCACCCCCCCCACGAGGCTTTCCCCTGCCGGCCGTTCTCCCTCCCCGTTCCGCAGACACCGTGCGGGCAGCCGGCAGGGGAGGGAGGAAGAGAGGACCTGGGAGCTTAACCTGCAGCTCCACTGGGTCCTTCTCACGCGAGCACAGAGCGTTGCCGCAGTTACCACAGCAACGCTCCGGCTCTCACGGGGGTGAACTCTAGCCCTGGAGCTACGGGCTAGAGTTCACTCTCAACACTGCGACCACCAGGAATTCCTGGTGGTCGCAGTAGTGAGAGTGAACTCTAGCCCCATACACACACTGCCCCCACACACACACCATACATATTCACACACCATACACATTCACACACAGCCCCCCCATACACACATTGCCCCACACACGCTACACATTCACAAACTACACCCCCCACACCCACACACTGAACCTTTCACACACATTGCACCCCTCACACATTGCACCACTGCTCCTATACCCTACTACAGACCCATATCCCAGCAGACTCCAGGTAACTTGTCAAACTGTTCTTAAACGGTTTGACTACTTACTCTGGGATGGGGTCCCGGGACTCCTGGCACCATAACCACTACACAGAGGAATA